TAATATCTGGGTCTCGGATATGCTATCTCGGATACAGTAATCCTCGTCTGAAAGGGGGGTAACAGATATTCAAATTGCTTGCCATCTTGTGCAATACAACAAGCGATTCTATCTTCGAATGATTTATTTACATTATTTAACATCGCAGGAGTTATTGAAGCAAACGCGTTTTAATTATTATGTTATCTCTAGTAGTAGGAGGTGTAGCATACCTATATAATATTTTTAATATAACCCCATTTAAAAAAATCCATCTTGGTTAATCCTGGTGACCTAGGGGGCCAATTATATGAAACACCTCTACCATCCATCTGTTTGTAAATTTTATGTTAAGGTTGTTCCTAACATCACGTGAGAAATAAATAATAAATGTAATAAATAATAAATGTGTCGTGTGTGGAGGTAACTTCATAATAGTAATTTCATTTTTTGTGCTAACTTAATCAAATCTGTGGACACATGGGTGGCATGGCCATCATAAATTAATAAAACTGGTCTTTCCTTTGTTATATTAGGTGAAAACACATCTCTAAACCAATTAAAAAACAAAGTAGTTTCCATCCAACCTCGAAACGTTGTAGAAACTGTAGTTTGGGTGTTGTTTGGCGACATAGGGGAGGGGAATCATTTGACCATCAGCGGAACAACACAACAAAACAAATGTGTTTTCTCAGCCAGACGTACTTGTATTCCTTATGCTTTTTATACCAATTGTACCAACGACCTTTGTTTTACTAGGGTCATGGCAAAATGACGTCTCGTCGCAATTAAATATCTGTTCTGGTTTCTCCTTAAGGTTTAGTTCTTCCACAGTTTTTGTTAATACTTCAAAAAATTATAGATGACCCAAGGGTTCACCTGATCGCATCTAACATGTTCAATATTCGTAGGTTTCTTTAATGACAGATGGTGCCAAGTTTTAAATGATCTAAACCAGTCTTTGGTCTTTAAATATACTCTTGATATTAGTTTGTCTTATATACAATTGTAGTAAGTCTAATACTTCTCTCTGGATAGGCCAAACCCATTTTTCTCCATAATTTTTATTCAATCTGCAATTTCTCTTCCCTCAAGAGACGACAAATATGACTGAACTCCACCACCGTTACCTTCTTTGAAGTCAGTTCCGCCCCACACGTTCCTTTGACTCTTGTCTTGATACCATTTCTGATATCCTCAATTGCCATATTAAGGTCTTCAGTGCTATATGAGAAGCCAGCACCATTCTGAGTTTTTCTTATGTACGTTCGTACCATGTTCTGAAACAAAAACAATCTGATATAACCTAGGCTTTGAAAAAGTAAAGGAAGGAAAAAATGAGGGGTGCCTGGTTCAGGCCCTGGCCAAGTTACTCCCGATATAGGTCCCAGTTACCCCGAAAGAGCAACAGCTCTCGAGGTAACTGGGTAACTCACTTTTACACTAAAATAAATGGTAAAAACACTTACCTTGACAATCGAAACAATAATGTAAATCACAAGCACGTCACGTTTATTTCATAAAAAATGACTACGAAATTAAATTGGACTTCTCACAGCAACCAGAAGTACTATAAAGGTCAGAATTAATGTTTTGGAGGGAAGGCACATTCTTGCAGTACAGCCAACAGCAAAAAATTTAAATACATTTACAGTTTAAGAATGAAAAGGTTATCACTCAGACACCCCCTGAGTCCAATTGCCCCCCATCACCCTATTTACTTTCTTATATTTTATGGAAATAACCCTTTTTCTTATCCCATGCCATTAAATCTCATTTGACAATAGAAATTAAATTTAATTCTGGAATCACTCATAAGTTTGTTCATTTTAATGGATAAAGGGTTTTTTTCAAAAAATATATTTAACAAGGATTAGTTTTCTTCATTTAAGGCATCTATAAAATAAAAAAATAATTTTTATGACAATCAATTCATTCTAAAATCCTGATTATTTTTTTAATAATAACTGCACGCCTTTGACTCGTCGATTTTCTTTCCTCTCAAACCCACAAAGGTCTACATTGAAAATATGACTCACTCGCTACAATAAAATTGTGGTACTGTGATATAAGTTCAAAGATGTTACATATCATATTTGAGAATTCTCAAAATATAAACAATGAATTAAACGCATTCATTTGCACCTTCCTAAAAACCTAAAATTAAACATAAATTATGAACATACTTATAAATGGCTTCCATATTGTGCAACGCATTTGGGTCCACATAATCTTCCAAACCATTAAAATCTTTAGGTACCTTTAATCCACAAAGTTTTCTCCATTTTGTGTAACCTGGCAAACCGTGGTCTCTGCCCCTTTGGACGTTGAGAGATACCAAATCCAGACCACATAGTTTTGGTTGCTTAAGTTGCTCAACTGTTCGTTCAAACATGTGCGATTTTAGCTAAAATTATTTAATTATAAACAAAATATAAGTAATAAGATGTGTACATGTGTAGGTACTGAATTTTTTTCCTGTGGCAGCTTTATATTAAGTACTCTATTGTCAGCTATCACTATCAGCAGCTGATAGTATAGGTACACACGTATTTTACATTGATTCCTTGTCAACTTAATTTTATAGTGGAAATAGTGCATTAAAAATTTTGATTTTTGGATGGTGACATCTAGATAAGTAAATAAATATATACATCTACTTATTTTTTAACAAATACTATTATTTTCTGCATAAGACAGTTAAAAGTGGTCGTTAAAATTTAAACATCGATAGTACGTACGACTGTGTTATTTGTAAAAATTCAACTGGAGATGCTACCATAAACTGTGACAGCTGCACCAGGTCGACACATAGGGAGTGTTCTGGATTGAATGCCAGAGAACTACAAGTTATGGACCTCAAAGTTAAGAGATTGCTTAAATTTTATTGTGAGGATTGTCACAATGGGATAAAGCTTATTCTAAATTGCTTGCGAAAATTGATCATATTGAGTTAGAAAAATAGAACATTTAAAAATGCTGTTGACAGTGACCCTAACACTAGGGAAGATAAAGAAGAAATAATATGTGAGATGATTGAAAGGCAGAGTTGGGCTTCTAACATAATTAAAAAAAAATTTATTTCAAATCCTTTATAAAAGGTATATAATAAAATGCCCAAACGGGCTATCACAATTACTTTACAGAACGTTTTCGGATTGTTAAATCCATCATCAGTGTAAATAGGGTATACATGCTATGAGCCACCAAAATATATGGGTCAAAACACTTTAAATGTTATAAATTTACAGTTGTTTACATTACATATAGTTACCAAATTAGGATGTTTAAGTAAACATAAATATATAATTTGAATAAGTTAGGTTTTAATGTTTTGTCAATAATACCTAACCACTTTATATATAATATATGATATATATATATATTATATATACATATATAAAGATAATGGTAAAGGTTAATTGGGTTAGCAGCTGAATAATGAAAGCCAAAGTGTGCATTTTTCAACTAGATAGGTGAATAGACTGGTCCAAAAAAATGACAATGTGATATGTAGTATTTGTGTTTTAACTGTTTTGTTTCTTAAATGTTCAATGTGTTTTAATATTTGTATTGTACTACTCACACTGGAGGAATATAACAAAAAATGCACTTGTATTGTTTGAGTTTTCAAGCCACCATATAACACTTACAACTTATTTTTTACTTTAAAAAAATCTTCAAAAAAGTTTTCAACATGGAACTTTCAAATACCACTTTTGCCTGCAACCTACACAACATTCGTCTGAAGATGTTAAAGAAATTTAAACGAAATATAACGAAATCGTTGAAAAGAGCCACTTTTGGCTTTCATTATTCAGCTGCTAACCAATTAACCTTACCATTATACTAATTATAATTGGACAGCTGTGAATCATTCTTCCTATATATATATATATATATAATATATAAATATATATATAAATATATATATATATATATATATATTGATAACAGATACCTCGTTAGTGAAATAGGAATCACTGGCTTCAATAGTTGTATTCATAGCTCCCTTTAGTGTCCTATCCATTTCTCCTAGCTTATACAAACCAAAAGGATTAAACAACATCTTATGCATTTGCACATATTCCGGAGATGACGTATCATTTGCAAGGAGTTTCATCAGCCCTGGAATAATGGAATGAGCGAATCTAAATGCTGCAGTTGCGAAATTATTCGCGATGTCGGGATTTAGGCTGTCATTATATTTCTTAGAATACCCCCATTTGAGTGGAAGTAAGTCATATTTTCGCATTAGGATTGTGACCTAGAAATAAAGAAAATAGGTGATCAATGACTGCATTCTAACTGGGTCGATCTAAGTAATTCAAAAATTTTTTGAAGCATTTTTCCTTTTAGCTGTAATTTAAAAAAGATGAAATTTTATAAGATGGACTAATGATTTTTGTTCTAATTTATAGAACTGGTATAAAATCGAGGAACGTATTCGCTTCGTTTGTTAGTATATTGTATTTGTAACTAACTAGTTCGCATCACGTTATTCTTTCATACATATTATTAAAATCAATCATTGATACTACTTAGTGTTTCCTAAAACCGCAGTTATAGTTAAATTCTTTCATTCCAACCAGCAGTGTTGCTAGTAGTTCGCTTTTAACATAGACACAACATTCACTATACTTCAGTGAAGTATTCCACAACACAGTTGTACAAAAAGGGTGTACATATGTGAAATGATGACATCATGAATACATAGTGCTGGTTTAAATAAATTAGGATGCGTAGTAAAAGGGTTATACAGATTATGGCCAATTATTAAGTTTATACAAAGTCTCACCACTACCCTGCTGCACACAACCGCGGTTTTTACAGGCTTTCACCGCGGCTGTTCTTCATACGGGGAATCTGTCAGGGTAATCTGTTTTTCTGAACACGTGTCTCGCGGTACTAACACTGAGATCACGAGATATATCACATTTGCGTCTGTACACGATTTAAAACAGTATTTGCGGTATTTTTCGCGTAATAAAAGCGGGAGAGAGCGAGAGAGAGAGAGAATGTCTGTTGTTAACGGCAGTCAACAGTAGAGAGGACACCCCTGTTACCAACGACAGTCGACAGGAAAGAGAGAGCATCTGTTCTTAGCTATAGACAGCAGGCAAAAGGCAGTCTTCTTGTTTGCTATTTTAAAACTGTCTGTATTTCTAAAGAAGGGGAGGTTGAAATGGAATGGGAAGGGTTATCAAGAGTTGGACTAAGGAAATGATTGTAAAATTGTGGTAGAATGATAGTAATACAGCAAAAAATAAATGATTTTTCGCATGTGATAACATTGAACAACAGTGTTATCGAACAACACCGCCATTCGCTATCCCTTCTACATATGAACGTTACTTAATGTCTAGCTAAAATCAGAAATTGCTATTTAACCCTAGAATTACATTTAAGTTAGTGTTTAATCTGTTTTTCATTCCAGCCTAGGATGGTGGTCGTTCAATTCTTCTCTCTACGACCTTTTACACCACTCACTATAGATAAAAGGATAAAAAAATTGATGAGACTTATATATACATATAAGTCGATATTGACTTCTAAAACATATGTTTGTAACTTGGAAGATTTTTACTAACCTAATAAAAATTGGTAGAAATTCATTATAGGTTATATGTTGAATTTGAGCCGCTACTATTCTTCGTGTCTCTTGAAAAATGGTCTCATCGTCCCAGTGAGTGTTAATTTTTGACAAATTTTCGGCTATACGGTTGTGTTGGCGTACCCACAGCAAATGCATGGTGGTTAAATGTAAATTTTCATTTGCTCTAGCATCGCCTAAAATAAGAAATTGTTAAAATTAAACTTGGAATTTATGTTGATTATACAAAATAAAGATAATAGGTGTCTTCTCTTCTTCCAGTGCCAACTTCAACAGTGGACGTGCATGGGAAGAGTTGGGTCTTGTGGTGCTTAAAATATACCAAAATTTCAAAGCATTCGATTAAATAGTTTAAAAGTTATTTTATTTATTTATCCCAAATTATTTTTTTTGCAACAATACAAGTAAGAAAATAATGAAGTTACAGTAATTCTACAGGTGGCTTATGAAAGAAGAAGATAAGCAAAGCAGACTGAATGGCAAATAAAGTCGTTTACCATAGCTTTTAAAGACAAGAATAAAGAAAAAACACTATATTATGCTGCTAACCTGTCGTAAAACAATATTTTCCTTCCATTCTCTCTTCTTCCCGATTGCATCCATCATTAAAATCTTCAGAAATCGGTAAGAGGTCTCGTCCATCTTCTGTAACCAGTATTTTCATCGTACCTTTAGTGGAATCTCTCAGTTTCTTTGCGAAATCTTCATCAGCGCTATAAATAACTGATCCGTCGATGAACGAGGTGACTTGGTTTAATTGTTCTCTTGATCCTAGACAACAGGTCGGTGCTGGAGCTGATCTGACGAATTCTATACAGCTGACGTTATATTCTCTAAAAACAAGAACTCCAAATTAACTAAACTTTGTCTAAATCTAAATATATAAATATATATATATATATTATATATATATATATATATATATATATAAATATATTTAGATATATTCATTATATGTACTATCCGTCATTTGATTTGATGTACCGTATGCTAGGATTCGGCTAGTTGTTTATTTTGTACTCAGTCAGAGGTCTTCTTCAAGTCAATAAAGCAAATTTACCTTATAGTGTATCTATTATCATCCATACTATCTATTATGTGATATCTCATATGTCCTCAGACGTTCTTTAATAAAAAAGAAGCTATGTAGTGCCCTTTTGATAGTCGCCTTGTTTATTTTTGTGTTTTTATTATATTCGTTATATCCTCCCCTTTCATTTGCTGTTTCGCATGTTGTCACTAAGGGCAATTCTAAAGGCATTTTTATGTATGCACTCGAATGGTGTTATCGTTGTTTTGGTTGCTGATAAGTGACCAATTGAACCGTAGTCAATCTCAAGTCAAGCACACTCTCTAAGTCTTTCACTACAAGTTGAAGTGAGGTGATTGATGTGTTCTTTCCAGATAAGTTGTTGGTCGAATTGGTTTGAATATATTTTTTTTATTATAGAGGAAATATCTGTGTAGTGCTAATGTTTTTCAAAGGCTATATATCTATAATTACTAATAGTAAATATTTCTTCTACATCTTACCTAAAAGGATCTTCTTCATCCAATCGCACTGGAAAACACTCGGCGATGTGAATACATTATAATCGCAACAGGAGATCGTACTTCCATTTGCTTTCTGGCTCAAAGCTGTAGCAGTAATGTCGTGGTCTAAAAATTGACCCCACACAGCCAGCATTACGGAAAATTTTGGGTCATCTCTATAGTACGGTCTATGGACTATCAGACTGACTGTTCTAGATGAAGGTAGAGGTCGTCCGGACTTAGAAACTCTTGGTTTGCTAATGCCTGTAAATAATACAAAAGAAAAACGTATACTTATACCTCACAAATTTGCAACTTTTTGGATAATTGCTAAACACTCGACAGCCAATGGTCCACTGTACTGTATAGCACAAGAAGTACGAAAGTAAATTGCTCTAGTAATAAAATTATGAAAGAAGAAATTTCTAAATTGGTCTAAATTGAATTAAAAAAATCCTCTTATAATCTTTTTTGGGAGTACGGTCCTGACAGTGATAAAATATATCACGTTGTAAACCGTGACCTCCAAGTCAACTGAGTAAAAGTAACGTGAGTAGCAAAACCACCTCATAATATCTATATTAATAATAATATAACCTATAAAGTACCAAAGGAGTAGAAAAAAAACTATGTAGTTTTGGGTCAGGATCCACACTGGTTTCCAAATTTAACTTCGAATAACACCACTACTCACACTTTATCTCTTGTCTCATATTCCAGTGTTGTTAACGCATTCAAAGATCCAACAGAAGAACAAGCTATAGTGCTTTCCAGTATTGAAGGAACTTAAGTTTAATTAGTATACCATAGGCATCGGTTCAGTAGTTGATCCACGTAATGTATCCTTCGCTTCCAGAATTGCCAACAATGGAATATGTCTATATCTTTCTTCTTAAAATACAGTTGATTTACTGCTTCATTCCCACAAATATTTTAATATAAAAGAAACTCAAGTAAAAATAAGAAGACTTATCTCTCCAGCTCAAAGACTAGTAATATCTAATGCTTGGCCCACTGTTTCAAACACGTTAATTGAACAAGAACTACATAAGATGGTATAAACTCCGTCTGAAAATGACTTTCCTAAGACATACCTGATAGCGAATACAGCCATGTCTTGAATTTTAGAAGGCAAATATTTATCACACCTTTAGAAAATATGTCTATCCCTGATTCTTTCATCATTTCTCATGAAAATACCAATTACCAATTATACCTTTTTATAGAAAGATTTAACTGTACAAAATGCAAGACTATTGATTCCCAGCAAGCTATATGCTCTGACCAAGCAAATCCCACTAGTGTCAAGAATGTTTTAACAAAGCTAATTTATCCACTTCTAATGCACACCCCGAAACTTCTTAAAACATATCAAGTGCAGTAAATACATCTAATAACCAAACAGCACAAATTATGGAAACCGACGACAATCTGACAGGATCTATAAATAATAGAAGTGAAATATCTTCCTTAAAAACCTAACAACATCAGAAATCTTACTTCAGTAGAAATAACACCATCTCCAATTATTACAAACGTCCCCAATTAACTAAAAAGTTTAATCTTATCTTCTCCAGACATTAATGAAAATACTACACAGACCGATTCACGGATATTTACACCTTCTGTAGTAAGCAAACCAACGAAAAACTCAAAAAACATCAACCAGGAAATCCTTCACGAGGGGATTTTTAGCTTCTCTAGAGTTAATTAAAGGCAAAATAGGAAAAACAGAATTACCATCAATAATCGTAAACTAGAATGAAATTTGTGATTTCTTTCCTGGAACCACACAACTAGATACCAAACATCCTCCAAGTAAGTTCAAAAATGTTCCTCAAACGAAACCGCTGAGGCCACAGCCCCCTTTACTTCCAAGCCATGGAAGTAGAAATTTGGCAACAACGCGTGGTAGTCCGACTTTGGTTTGTTTTGGTTTTTACATATAATATAGGAAGGCATGTAAAGTTTGTTGGATATTGTATTTGTTATTTTAAACTTTATCTCGAATGTTTTATTTATAAAATTGTGTTTACATCCAATTAGAAAAATATTAAATATAAGTGAAATTTCCATTAAATTTAAGAAATTTTAGAAGATTTTTATTAAACGACAATTTAAAAAGTCAAGTATAAAGTAATAACCTACAAAACAAACTGAAAAAAATAATATACGTTTTGCTTTCTTGTTACAAAATATGTAAACTAAAAAACAACAACAATAATACTTTTGTTTTTATGTTACAGATTGCGCTGGCATTGTTGGTGTACCTGTGTTGCTAAAACCAATTTATGCCAGGACTTTAAAAAAACGAAACAAGGCGGAAAGTACGATTTTTGTTATTCCCAATGATCCCTAAAGCAGGGTATAACTGGGTTATGCCTCTATTCAAAGGAGAAAGGCCTGTACAATTACCAAGATCTTCCGTATAGTATGTGCCAAACATTATCATGAAAGATTGACTATTCAGCTGGAGCTGAACACTGAGAAGATAAAGATTTGGAAGATGTACCCATTGAAAAGTTAATATTTCTCAAATTAAAAAAGGCAATGCAGTTCCTAATATATTTCCTGATAGTTACCGATCAAATGTAACTGTTCCATCGTACTAAAAAAAAAAGCGAAGGAAATCCCGAAGACAGAAGAATACTTTTTGCATAAGAAGATGGGAACACAGAGATAACATAAGTGCAATAAATTTTAACTTCTACGAGATTTTTTAAATGATAATATAACCTAAATAATAATAAATACCTTTATATATATTTACGTGAAGGGGTAAATATTAAAAGGTTTTATTAAATTTAATTTCCCTAAAAATATTGTCTCAGAAATGAATTGAAGTTTTCAAATTATCAGTTTCCTCAAATTCAAATTAGTTTAATATTCTCGGGTAAGACCTTTACAGCAGATTATCGGACTAACCGCAGACGTCCTAGATGCGGTGTTGCCCTTTTTTACTTCATGGCCTTGGACGTAAGAGGTTGGACTAGTGGGTGAGCTAAATTGAGATCCTTTAATTTTTATTCACGCAATCAAAATAAAAAAATAATATCCTCTAGGTTTAAAAGAAACTAGACCCCAATAATCTATCTCCACAAACGACAGGAATTACAGATTTAACTCCTATAACGGTTTTTTTGCGCTTATTGATTTTATCACTATGTAGTAAATCCTTATCAACGTTTCTCACTCTGGAATACTTTAAAATCGTTAAATGACAGTGATTACTTTCCTATCTATATGTTATCAAATGAAATTCAATCTCCTAACTTTCCAATCTCAAGAAAATTTCAAGAAATTGGATGAAAAGTGCTCAAGATATAGAACAATGGACAAAAATGAGGAGGCATATTTCCAGCAGTGGACGCAAAGGGCTGGGTGATGATGAGAAGATGATGTTACGATGCTGCAGCAAAACCACTTCAAAAAAACTAAACAGCATTCAATATACAGCTTTGATATTAGCACTGGGTGCTTTTAAAACTAGTCCGGTTAGTAGTATGCAAGATTTAAGGAGAACCTCCATTATATATAGAACGACAGCTACTATCCTATAAACTATATTGCAAAGATCTTTTTTTGGCTAGAGTACCGTCATACAGTCAGAGACAAAATAAACAGAAAAATCGCCATATCAAATATCAAAAAAAATAAAAAAATTACATCGATATATCTGCAAACATATCATCCTAGAAACAGCATCCTACTATTTTTGCACTAATGAGTGTATATATTCTCTAACATGAATGTAAAAGACATGATAAGTTTAAAATCGTATTTTTGTTGTTTCCGGCAACTGATACTCGAAGGAAAGATATGAGGGTAGGAGAGGTCTGGGACGTAAAAAAATGTATGGCTGCGCAATATCGACATGTACAGGAATCCACGGCTATGGAAATGCTTCCAAGCTGCTAAAACCAGAATATTTAACTGACTATTTAACAACTTACCTGACAAGACGATGTTACTGTGGAACGCCTACCGCAGAAGTGCACGGCCCTTAAGAAGAAGAAGAGTCTTGTCTTCGACATTGCTTTAAATATTGGAAGAGTTTTACTATTAACTTTCTCAGCACAGCGCAATGGACCACAATCAAAGCTTTCATCTCTATCCAAATGGTAGCAAATTTATGAAAATATTTTAGCCTGGATTGAAGTTAAGAAATAATGCTCTTCAATATTATTTTTTTTTCTATACATGTAATATAACAGCTTTTACTAAATTTTAGTATATCGTGCTACTGCTGTTCTTGACACCAGCACATTTAATCATATATCTAACGAAAATGCTCACCGTACATGAAATATTGTTGACCGAAAATGTTTATGATCGATAATTTTTGCATCCTAGATTGTTGATAATTTGCCCCACTTCACGCAAAGGCGTACGTTTTAAAATGGTGTAAAAGTACAGGTTTCAGAAATGAGTCACTGAAATTTCACATGAAAGCGGTTAAATTGCATTAAACCCAGCTTTCCATTACAATATGAATTCAAGAAAATTTCCTACAATTAATAAATGTGAATTAAGACGAATTTAAAATTGATCTTAAATTTAATTTGTTAATAAACATTTATAAAAGTATAGCAAACCTTTTACATTAACTAATTAGAATTTATTCTTGTACTTACCGTCAGCAATAATCTGGAGGTAAGCATTCTTTCTAAAGCGCCTAAAGGCAAACCCCATATTCCTGTGGTTTTCTTTAAATTATAACAATTACACACGAACCATTAAACGAGCGATATTTGTTGAAATTATGTTGCATTCTTATTCTTGGTATTTTCGCATAGTTTATTAGTTGAAATCAGTGTAATACTCACATATAACTTCATACAGGTTGGTTATCCCGATTTATTTCTAAAAGCAGACATTGTTTTAATTAGCTTAACAAGGCACAAATACAGAGACCTGGGTAGCTCATAGGTGCTGAAAGATGAAGGTTTGAATCCTTGCTACAAAAATGAAACAGAAGAAGTACGAACCCTCAACTGAGATCAAAGATGACGGAACCAAGCTTTAATGAATTTATGTCAAATTACGCAGAGAGGAAGAGTGCTGAGATTCGCGTGACCACAGAAGTTCCGCAGGATCTTTTTAGTGTTCGCATAACGATCTCTCTAGTCCACTGTATTACGCAATATCTTGAGATGATTAAAGGAATCTCATCCTTATTTATAAGAAGTTCGGTCATTGGAACGAGTTAAAAAATCAGCAGCCTAAAGAGTGGAAGAGTATGAGATTAGAAGATAGTCACTCGATGTTTTGCTGTATATGGTGACCAGGAAGTTGTATACAGACAGGGCAACCTACGAGGATAATATGGAGTGCTCTAACAATTTGAAGAAAATCGTGTGCAATTATGACATCCCAGAATTTGCTAACCAAGATAGGCATGGCACCCGAAGCATACTTGAAGTGATCTTCGAGAAACCGGCGTACGAATTACTGTGTGTTGCATTAAGCCGAAAGATATCGTGTCTTCAAGTCGTAACTGTTATTTCTTCTTGAGGGTTTATACAGAGCTGAAGATTCAGTTAGATTCCGCCATCCTGGCTACATAGAGTGCGCTGATCGGGACGCTCAGATCTAAGATCAGTATCTAATTCTAGAAGGATAAATCTTGAATACTCAAGAGATAACATTTCAATAGCGCCGTCTTCGATGCGCTTTCGATGAAGAGGAATAGAGGTGGACTATTCCAGAAATTCTATTTACAAGATGTTCTCCTAGAAGACGTTTTGAATTTAATTGAGGGAGGCCCCACTAAGCCGGTCGTAGCCAACCTTTTCATGCAGCATCTAGAGAAGAGAGTAATGGATCAGCATGCATGCCAAGGGTATGGTTTAGATACGTCGATGACAATTTTGTGATTTGGGCTCACGGAGTAGAAAACTTAACGATTTCCTGTCTTATATGAACACACTACATCCAAATATTCAATTTACGATGGAAACAGATCAATAACTAGGTTCCTAGATGTATATAGTAAATCGAAAGGAAGGTTACTTAGGACATAAAGTGTATCGAAAACCTACACACACACGGATAGATACTAAACAGGGAACTCAAATCATCATCCAGGCGAAAAAACAAGGTATCATCAAAACATCTTGCAGAGAGGGCAAAGAGAATTTGCGAACCACAGTATCTATCAAAGTGAACTTCTTCATATTGAAAAAAGCGCTCACTCTAATGGTTATTCCAGAGACAAATACATAAAGTGCATTAAAAACGTTTCTAGAAGAAAGGACGAAGAAACAGCTGTATAGGCAAAGCGTTATTGTTCCTATATGTCGCGGGTAACAGACAGAATTGAGGCGAATACTAAAAAAAGCAATGTAAAGACCATTTTCAAACCAACAAAGAACTGATTTAAGATCGGTGAAGGACAAAACGGGACCAGTTAGCAACGGCCGGAGTATAGCGAATACCATACACATATGGAATGGTATATGTGGAAAATATTAAACCATTGTCGTTTAGGACATATCGACAAATCTGCCGTTGCCGAACACGCTTTGGGAAGCGGAGAACATCGGATACTAGTTTGAAGAAACGCAGATGCTGGATAAAACGTCACAGTACTACCCCGATTATATCGGGAAGCAGTGGAAATATATAAGCATCCAAATAATTTTAATGGATAGAAGAAGGACAAAAAATAACAAAACATGGATACCAATATTAAAATTCACAAACACCCTTCCGCAAATCACGAATAAGAAAAGCTACAAACGACGACACGCCGCCTCACGCCGAAACCAGTGGAGGAAGGCGAGTAGCAATATAATAGAACAGCTGGACCTCATGCTACAATATCGACGGAACGTCCATGGGAGGATAGGAGTTACCAATGCCGACCATCAGGGAATAGGAACTAGGGTATCCACGCCACTGAGGGAGGTGGCGGAGAACAGAACCAGGATAGGTTCTTCAAAAAAAAAACCACGGCCACAAGAAAGACTACGTAAGACCAAGGGATATCCACGAGAAGAACAGGTCCAGAGGATACACCGAGACACGACATCGATGATTGACCACATATCACGATACTAGAATCCGGCATGCAGAAGTAGGTACGTTTAACCGAACAGTACCTACCGAAGCCAGACGAGGACACCACCCAGGAAAATCCAGGAACCGAGAGGAAGAAGGATCGATAATGCAGGCGGTGTGCATGAGCGGAACGTACGAAGATAAGATAGGCTAAAATATAAAAATTTGGACAATGTAATTCATAATAGTATGGGCAAAAAATTGTTCTTTATTTTTTTATTTTTTAATTTTTATTTTTATTTATAAGAGAGACGCTCACTCAATAGAGGTGTGGCAACTATGTTAAAAATAACATAGAGTGGAACCAAGTTGTCATGGAAACAACGAATTTGAAAACAGTAGGAGTCAAAATTGGAACTACTAACATTTTTTCTATTTACAGAAGAATTCGGATAATCTAGCTATTGAAGAATAGGATGCCATGCTAAACTCAGCACCAACCGTCGTGTTAGCAGAGACTTCAAACGCCAAACATGAAGCTTGGGGAAGTAGTGCAGAAACAAGAACTGGTACTGCATTACTAAAATATATTGAAGACAAGAACAGGATGATGTTCGCACCGGATGAACCAACAAGAATCAGCCCTAGAAGAGATCACAACAACTCTACGTTGGACTTTTTCATCACAAAAGACGTTATTATAGAAGATGTAAGGACCTACTTTGAATGCAGTTCGGACCACAAACCAGTTTTTAGGAAAGATGACATCAAGAGCAGACTTCCCACCATAGAACCAGTCGAAAGATGGAGATGGAAAAGATGCAAATTGGCCAAACTATAGAAGACAGCTAAAACAAATAGAGATGAAAAGAGAATTCCA